GGCTCCGCGACTCCGCGCCGGGCTCCATGGGCGGCGAGGGGCAGGATCGGGCCCCGCCCGGCAGCGGCCGGTACCACTCCAGCCAGATGGGGGGATGGGAGGTACCACTTTAGCCGGGGCGGGGGTGTGTGTGGAATGTACCAGGAGCTGCGCTGCTCTCCTGGCTCCGTGCAGTTCTGGCTGCAGTGACATTGGAACGTAGGCTGTGACCAATGCACTGCACGGGCCGTGGCAGGCACTCAGCTCTCCTCCTACTGCACGCATAGGTGCTGGAACTAGGGGTGCAGGGGGTGCTGCAGGACCTGCTGGGTTGAAGTGGGTTCCATCATATACAGGGTTTACAGTTTGGCTCAAAGGCTCAGCATCCCCACTACACAAATTGTTCCAGCACCCCTGCACTGCACGGGGTGTGACACTGCCCCCAGCTCCCCCCTGCACTGCACGGGCTGTGGTACTGCACCGGCCATAGCACTGCACTCAGCTACCATACAGAGCCTGGAGCAAATGGGCTCCTTCCCACACGTCCCACACCTTGGCCTCTGGTGTGCCCCAGTGATTGCCCCACATACACATCATGGCAGCAACTCTCCCCTACTCACCCCACTAGCTGCAAGGAAACCTCACAGCAATTCCCCCCACACACACCGTGAGCCCTGGAGAGAGCCTCACAGTGACACACAAACACACCCCCACGCACAACACCCTCCCGAGAGGGCGCCTTGCAGTGACTCCCCCATCCAGGAGTGACCTTAGTCTGCACCCTGGATTCACAGCCACTGGTGCAGCTCCTGCTTGCTCCCATCACTGAGACCCCTGCCCAGGCACACACCGTGCCAAACCATCCAGCACCATCTGTGGGACCCTGTGGCACACTGCATCGCCGTTTGTCATGTTCCCCTCCCCTTAGCCGGGTACTGGGTAAGAACAGCGAGTGGCTCTCCTGTCCTGTTCTCGCTTCCCTCCCTCCCTGCCCCCCCCCCGCCCTGGGCCTGAGTCTCCCTCAGGACCGATGTCAGCAGGGGGTACTCACCTCCTGGCTGCTTGGAGGGGCCAGCAGGAGTCATAGACTCCAGGCTGCAGGCACTGGCCGCCCAGCAGTGCAGGCAAGGGGAAAAGGAGTTAACCCAGTTTATAGCGTTTAGGTTAGATTAGCTGACCCAGTTCTTTGGTTACCACTATACCACTGGGGCTACCTGTGCATGCCCCCTCCTCAATGCCACACCTGCATGCCAGTGTTGGGGGCACTCCTCCCCTCAGCCCCATGTTCTCTGGGCCTGATCCCTGCAGCCGGCCCCCTTTGCACCAGGCAAATCCAGTGTGATGTGGTGTGCCGCACTGCCCAGGCCCAGCGGGTGTGTGTTTGAGACCTTCCAAGGAGCAGGGAATGGCCGACCCTGGCCTTACTGTTGCCTTGGCTCATGGAAACCTGCTGGGGCATCTCCATGGGTGCCATCTGCTGTGCCCAATGGAGCTGCAAATTGGGGACTCTGTACTCCCCTTTGCCTGTGGGATTTGCAGTTGGGGGGACCCAGTCAGGTCAGCTCGTGCTCCCACAGGGCTGGGCTCAGGGCCATTAGGGTGGATTTAGGCTCTCACTGCCTATAGCCGTGTGAGCACGCAAAGGGTTAAAAGGTGCACGGGTTTGTCTGCCAGGGTGCACAGCAGCTGGTTAGGCAGCTGGCGAAAGACCGTTAGAAAGGGGCAGGGAAAACAGAGGGGAGGGGAAGGTGCTGAGAGATGGGCTGGGGTCCCTCTGCCTGCTGCATTGTTCATGCCTGGCTCAGATGTTGCAGCCTCTCACCATGGACCTGCCCTCATGGCTGCTTGGACAGCTCCTGGCCACCACAGTACTTCAGCTTCTGAGCTGTGAGTATACCTGTCCCCTGGGGCAGGTGCCTCCTGCTTCACTCAGCTCCACGCTCTCTTCCTTGGCAGGACATTTGCCTGCTCCCCAGGGTGGGCTGCACACACACACACCCCCAACACCCAGGAGAAACATTCTGGGCCGGGTGGGTTCTGCAGGCAGCGTGTAGCTAGAGGCCCAAGACTGCAGATACTGTGGGAGGGGAGGAAAGGAGTGGCCAGCGTGTACCCGTTAAGTGATTAGCTACACCCTGCAAAGGAGCAGCGAGGCCTGGGGTTTTTGTTCCAACAAATGGCAGTGGGGCTGGGGCAGCCAGACATGGACCCAACCCCCAATTGGGCACTAATAGCTGGCCAAACAGGGATACTCGCCTCACGAGGCAATCCTTCCCGAGAGGCTTAAAACCAGTTTTAGTCTCACTGCTCCCAGTCAAAGGGGCTCCAGGGTCAGGGAGGCCTTGTGGCTGAGACCTGCCATGCTTTCTCCCCCCAGGCAGCACCGCAGCCCCTTTTCCTACCTTGGCGCCCCCACTTACCATGGTCATTAACGGCGAGAGGAAGACCCTAGTGGTTTGTGTGGTGAACGACCTCTCCCAGGACACGGCAGATGCCATCTGGTTTTCTAATGAGAATGGAAGTGCCCTGGACTCCTTCACTTACGGGGTTTCCAGGGAGGAAGACGGTACATTCAGCCCAGTCTCTCACCTCTCCGTCCACACCGTAGAACTGGAGTCCTGGGAATCCCTCGCCTGCCATGTGAGACAGAACAGAACCGCCCAGGTGTGGAGTGCCAGGTCCCTGCTGATCTCTGGTAGGTACCACACGAAGAGAATATCCAACACCACAGACCCTATCTCTTTTCTGTCACTTCCCTGCCCCCACCTCCCTCCACCTCCAGTCCCCTGGGAGTCCCGCATTCCTCTCCATTTCCCTTGGTCACATTGTGTTATCCCTGAATGACCTGGGCGAGAAAGTGAGGGTCCAGTGGCGGATGCAGTGGCTCCCACTGCCCATTTGCAACAATGCAGACAAAGTGCAAATGTCAGTTAATTCAAACACAGCACCCCAGGGAAAAATAGTTATCCTGAAGGGTCCCCCCATGGGGACACGGTCACCCAAGGAGAGCTTGATTAATCGCAAATATGGCCCAAAAGGGGAAAGAAGCTCTAGTCTC